TCTACCCAATCCACAAATCCCTTAGGATGAGCAGTAGTTTCTGTCAATCATTGTTTCCTTTACACACCACCTTACAAAGGGCTGTTTACTTCATGTGGTTACTGCTGGAGGTATAATGTCTTATTCCAGAGAGGGGAATGATGAGTATCAACAAATGCATATTTTACAGAACACCTCTTCTGTGCCAAACCAGGCTCAGTGCTGCACATACAATAACAGACAAGGCAGAGGTGGCTCTTACCCTCATAGAACTGTATCCAATTGGAGATGTTAGGTTTTGGGGTTCAGAATACAGGAATAGAAGAGTAAGAAAGAGACCATACCAAACCTCAGACTGGTGTATTTTATTCAAGGGTGCAATGAGGGACAGCAGGCTTTCTGCATGTTGGGGACAACTGTACTGTGAATGTGGAGCATCAGAGATCACATAGGGACTAGGTAATGAGGAAAAGGCTCAAACGACCTTAAGAGTAAAAATAAATTGGTTTATCTGGGCCAACTGTAGGGTCTTAAACACCCAAAAGGAAAATATAACCAAAGATTAAAGGGGTCAATATAATTTTTTAAGAGTCCATATATATAGCTAAAGGCTACATAATAAGAAAAAAATGCCAGACAGGCGATACCTTCCTTTGACTTGTTGGCCAGGGTGGCCCAAGAGATTCCCAGACAGCAATCCAGCATAGAACTGGAAAAATGAACAGCAGACCCCAATCTTATCTAAAGGAATATTGACAACTGATTGCTGCTAGATGAGGAAGAGCTCATCTTCCTAAAACAAGGAACTGTAGATAGGCTGACTAGATTCAGTGAATGGAAAAGCACTAGGGAACAGCTGGGGGTGCCGACGACACAGTGGACAGTAACAGGGATGACAGAGTATATGGGGTCCAGTGGGGGGGGCTATGGGAGGGTGCCATTTGGGATGTGGGTATATAGATGAATATTATTTGAGATAGGCTGTGTGATATACACACAAAAAAATCAACAAATAAAAAATGAGTTATATTTGAGGAAGAAGCATAAAAATTTGCTTCATGTTAATTAGTAGAGGTGAAAAACATTACCATTGAAATCTACCCAATGACTTTATACCCATACTCAGGTGCCAAGGATCTGGCTAATCAAGTCAATGCTATTCCACCAATGTGCAGGTCTTGCCTACTGCTGACTTCTCAGTCAAGATCTAGCATGCTGTCGCCTGTACTATGGGGTTTTCTGTATGAAATAATATATCATTTTAAAATGAAATAGATTTTTTTAAAGGTTAAAACCTCATTCAATTTTATGTCTTATAGGGTTTATACTGAGTTCAATATTGTATAACTGCATTAATTCAACTGTGAACCTAAAAATTTAAAGCCACTTTTGGAAGAGATACATCTTTGCTCTGGAAATTGTTATTGAATATGTGAAAGCTGTAATGAAATGCTTCTTCTAATCATGTGGTTATTAAATAATTTAAAAATGGTTACAATAAATATATCATGGCGAGAAAATCATGGGAGAAGACAGGGTGTATGGTGAAAAATGGAGAAAAGACTGTGAAAGACCTTTCAAGAAGGGACCGAGGGACAGTATCTCTGGTCAGAATAAATGTGAGCTGAGAAAAATGAAGTGACAGAGGAGCGAGAAGGCATCCAGAACTGTATTCGTAAAGAACTTGGAAATGCCCTGTGGTGGAGACAAGTTTGGCACAGTTTGGCTGTTGGGCTGTAGTAGAAGGCGAGGAATGCCGATTCACATGAGTTAGTTGGACAGAGGGGTAGGACATGTGCAACTTAAGGCCATGCCTACCAGTGTTACTTTCTGTTAGATGCAGTTGAGTTCATCAGACAATTTCAAGGCAAGAAGGACATGGTTGAATGAGCATAGTATTACAACTTGTGATGTAAGCCATGGCTTATTTTTGACATTTATAAGCATTCTGTCTCTTTCAACAGTTCACTGGTTACTTCATTCTCCTGTCCACTGGGGGGCTCCAGAGATTGGCATATCCATATAGACTAGTTGACTAAATACCTTCCCCAAGGCAGGCTGCCTTTCTCCCCCTAAGATGTGTGCAGCTGCAACACTGGAGGGAGCTAGGAACAATGGGAGATGTGAACAACTGAATACAGAACATATTAAATACAATTATCTCATCGAAATAGGTCTGTGTTTGATAGAATATAATCATAACTTCTTAATTTTTTCTTTGTTTTTGAGAATTTCATGCATGTGTACAATGAATTATCATATTTCCCTTCAACACACCCCTTCAAACTTTTTTTTTTTTTTTGGTAACCTACTAAGTCAAGTTCACTTAGTGCTATTCATACATGTGTCCACTGGAGCATGCAAAATATACTAGTGACCATATCCTGAACATAAAAATGCTTTGCCCTTCCCCAGAATTTGTCCACTATCAATAGCTCCTCAGTGTGGGGTAGGACCTGGAGATTATCTACTGCATTTATCCTGGGAGTTTTGGCTGGCTTGATCTTGTGTAGATCTTGGACAGGAAATCCTAGCCCTACCTTCTGTGACTGCATGAGTGTCATATCCATGTCATGTCCAGAACACAGCACTGTACAGCACTCCTCCCCATCTTCTGACTCTTATATTTTCTCTGCCTCTTCTTCCATGTTCCTTGAACCTTGGCTGAGAAGGTGGTTAATGCAGATTTAGGGCTGTGCACTCAGTCACTATTCTCAGCACTTTGACTAGTTTGCATCTCTCCATTGACTGCTGCCCACTGCCAAAAGAAACTTCTCTGACCAAGCATGAGAGAAGCCCAGGTCCATGGGTATGAACATAAATATTTAGAAGGCAATTTGACAACGTGACTATTGAGCCAAATAACAATAATAGCTTTTACCTAGAGCAAATGAAAGCCTTAGCCAGGGACTTTGGACCAGAATTATAGTACCAGGGGAGAAATTACCTCCTGTGGGGCAGGACTAAAGTTCAATCACAAAGTAGTTACAATAGTTGTGCCATGATTGCACCAGTGGGGCACATGTTGCTTGGCATGTCAGTGTTGCACTCAGGGCTCAGCACTGGCTAAAACCATTAATGTCTTTTCTCCCCCAGCAGCCTGCACAGTGTCTTCTGGCATCATGAAAGCTAGCCAGCAGGGAGGAAGTTTCCCTGTCAATTTGAGATTTATTTTTCTTTGTCCTTCAGCCAAGTGTGTGGTGTCTTCAGCAGTAAGGCCTTACTATGTAGTACGGGTAACCAAGGGCAATAGCAATAGCAATAGCAATAGCAATAGCAATAGCAATAGCAATAGCAATAGCAATAGCAATAGCAATAGCAATAGCAATAGCCTATGTGATTTTGGAGACCTCTGGGGCCTCCCTAAGCAATAACTGGTATAAAGGTATCCCATGTCTTGTACTTTGATTTTCACTTAATAATCTGTGCATTATGAACAATATAACTTAAATAATAAAACTCTTATATGCCAAGTCTACACAGGAGTACATATATTTGACTGGCGGGTAGCTTTGTTTTAAGCATCAGAACTATGGCTTACAGAGCATGCCTGAGAAGGATTAACCACATGGCCTGTTTCTCAAAAGGCAATCCTAAGAGTTGCCAGTTTCTGAGGGCTTTCTCTATGCTGTCCAGCATGTTAAGGTCACAATCATATGCCTCATGCAATCCTCAAGGTCACTATCATGTGCCCCATGCAATCCTTCATTGATGGCCACTGATGAGAAAGCTGTGGCTTTCTTTACCAACATTGGAAAACTGAATCTCGGGGCCTTTAGGTGACTTAGTCAACACCTCAGTTTTGGCATTAGGCTGAAAGGCTGCCAACTCTACAGTTCTCTGTGTCAATCACAGCATGAAGCTAAGGAGGTTTTCAGGGACTTGGGCTCCAGTCTTAGTCCATTTTCTTGCAGTCTTGTTTTCTTTGGTGATAAAATAGATGTCATGTTCGGGAGAGTTGGGGAGACATTACCATAGACTCAACAAATCTATAGTGTATGCTCAACACTACGGTACTTAAGAATGTTAACTACTAGAACTGATACAAAATACTACTTTTGGAAGGTGCCTGTGTTTGGTTTTTAAAATAGATTTCTTAACCAGAATAAATCCTTAAAATTTCTACTTTTTCCCACTGGTTGCTTTTAAGCCTTCTTTTGCTAGTTGGGACAAACTTGTATTGAATTAATATTTGAAGCATCCAGTTCTCTCCCAGACAGGTTTTTCATAAGGATGTAGAAACAGCAGCTCGAGAGTCAAGTTTCCACCAGTTCTGCTACAAACTTCATGCACTGCTGTAAGCAAATTCCTTCTTTTGGATGCCCAATGCAAAATGAGCAAGTGGGTTAAAGTCTTTTCCAAGTTTTCACATGCTAGGGAAGACTGTAACCCATGTTTAGCTGAGAGAAAGCAGAGCAAAGGGCTCTATGACAGCAGTTATCCTGAGACATTCCATTAACCAGTACCTCATGAGGCTCTGGACTGTTAGGTGACTAGCAAAGCTTCAACAATTTTACTATATATTCAACACAGGTCATTGCCATCCTAGGAAGTGAGTAGGGTTCTTCACATTTTTGCTCTTGTGGAACCACAGCTAGGTAGATCACAAGTTAGGCTCCACCAGACAAGCATTCTCTGTCTGGTGCCTCAACCCTCCCCCACGCCCAATCCCACCCTCAGCAATAAAACGGTAATAGACTGGACTTTTGTCCTTATTTCTCAGTCCCAGATTTCCCCCAATGCCTAGGGTAGACTAAAGAAGGCCCCACCCCCAGCATCAAGTAGCTGACACCCTGACATCCATCTCCAGGATAAGACTTCCTCAAGGGTCTGGGAAGTTGGGTCCCGCTCAGCATCCCGGCGCCGCGGGCTCCCCGCCGAGCCTCTCGGAACCGCGCCCGCCAGGCTTTCCCGCCCGCCCTCCCGGGGCGTTCGCCCTGCCGGCGTCGCACGGTCCCCCGCGGCTGGCGCGTATCCAGGAGACTGGCAGTCGGCTTCTGCAGAGGACGCCGTGTGGGGACGCCCCTGGCAGGCTGCTCGGCTCTCTCCTTCCTTGCCTAGGATCCGCCCCTCCCCCTGGAGCTGAGAGACTGCTGTGTACTCACTTGTAGCCGCAGGTGCCTGGGCTCAGCGCGCCGCCACGTCCTGCCTGGCAGGTGAGGTCTTTCCCGGATCACTCCTACCTTGCGAGTACTGTCAGCCGCTGCTCCTTGGATAGACAGAGCATCTCCCTAAGGTGAGTGGAAGGGTTAGAGGAAGGACGGGGACTGAGCAGTGATTATACATATGCAGTCAGTGTGTGCATAGCAAGGGCACTGGTGGGAGCTAAGAAGTTAAAGGGGGTGGGAGATAACACAAAAGGCAGTCGGTCAGGGTACGCACGGAAGCTAGGACAGACGACCCTAGCTATTGCTCCCATCTGCTGCCCCAGCCTCCCAGGAACTTGTGTTCAAAGACTTCAAGAAATATTCGCAGGACTGAGATGAGGTATTGCTGCTTGTTTCTCTCGTCCACTTCAGAATCAGCTAGCATTGCTTTCCACGGTTGTCTACATCTCCACAAGGTCCCCACACACAACGCCGAAAGTTTTTTAAAAACATGTTTTACATAGAAAAGAACAGTGTGCTGTATTTATTTACACTATAGACTACTAGGCAGCACTTCAAAACAATAAATCAGAGTTGTAGAGATACACATGCTTATACCTAAATCTCAGAATCCGTGATGGTAAAAGAGCACAGAGAGATGTAAGTACACCTACTGCTTGATGCCAGCTGGGCTGGTTACTTTAAAACACTTTTCATGAATGCAAAACCATAATGGAGTGTGAGGAGAGTAGAACAGCTCTATGATTTTCGCTGTGTTTGGGAAGTGGGAAAAAGCAATGCACTTGTCACGAGGACTAGTGTGGAAATGCTTACCTGTAATGTGGAAATGCTTACCTGTAAGGTTTAATAACAACTGATAATGCAAAGTCGAGAATGCAAAAGATTGTTAACCCAGAGTGTTCCTATCTTGAATGTTTTCCTTTTCTTATTCTTTCTTGTGTTTCTGAATATTTCCAACTTAAATTCTTTTGTTTTTCAAATAAAAACCAATTATGTCCCTGCATACATTGTGATAATGAAATTTACATGGTGCTGTCAGAAGTTGCAGCTTTCTTACATCACACCTGGTGTTCTCTAGTTCTAGAAAAACTGAATCTCTAGGGAGAGGGAGGTCTTTAGAGCAGCCCACTTTCTGACTAGTCTAAGACTGCAGGCCCTACTGGACATGTTGATAGAAGGGAATTAGTCCACCATCAATCATCTGGTAATCCCTGGGTCCAAGGAGAATTTGAACTCTTCTGTGTTCCTGCAGAAATTTCTCTTCTTCTGACATTAACAATTTTTTTTATGGAATCAAGAATTTCATTCATCGTGTTTTAATTATATTTCAACTCCCTCCCCATTTCTACCTGCACCTTTCCATCTCCCTCCCCAACTTCATGACCTCTGTTCTTTTCCATGGACAGCCACTGGACTTTTAATGCTTAGCTAACCCTGAGGACTCAGAAGCCAGAGGTCAGCAAGGGCAGAAGCTTTATAGAAAAGAGTCTTTCATTTCTACTGTTTTCTATTCAACAGAGTGGAAAGAATGAGTCACCATATTCCTGCCAGAGAAAGGCAGATTTCTTTCTAGATATGAGGGAAAGACGTCTAATTTGATTATGCAGATGGGGGAGAAAAAGTTAAAGACAAGTCTAAGGTAGTTTATGTGTGTTAGCTACAATGGAGGATGAAGATGTTAAACCATTTCCCAACAGTTCTGTTCACCTGCCCCCTCCAAGTATACATGAAAGTCCCCTTTATACGTATGTTCTTACTAGTGAAATCACTGGATGTGTGGGGGATAAAATTGCACCTCAAAATGGAAGTGTAAAATGTTAAAAATTGTGATAATATCCCTCTGTCTTTCTCCATCTGATCTGACAATGTGCAAGGTCAATGTTTGGCACATCTTATGTTGCAGAAAAATGGGCTACATGAGAAAAACATGAGGTGTAACAAGAATGGTAGGGCTGCCACGTGGTGTGAAAGCATGGACTAGGTTTTAAAATATAAGAGAACAGAGTCTACAATTCACCATTCCTTAAAACTTACGTTGCCAGTTTTCTTTCTCTAATGCTATTGGTAGTTAAGGTTTTGCTATTGTCCCTTTTTTCTGGATTTTATACAACAATAAAACACAAAGGTCACCCAATTTGCTTCTTCTGAACCCTCCATAAAGCGCAATGGGCATCCTACTCACTTTTTCTTAATTCCTCTTTCTGCCGTCCTTAAAAGCCTTTTGATTTTTTTTAGCTACAGGCACAGTAGTTCTTTCTGTCTACCTGATCGCAATAATCCCACTGAGCTTCCTCAGCCACCTGCCACCACCTGCCCCTACCATCTCCCTTACTCACTCATTTAATTGGCTGCTTCCTAAAAGCTGACTCTTTGCTCTACACTCAATGTTTTTTTTTTTGAAGGTCCGTAAGGCATTTTGCCAACAGTTGGCTTTTACAAAGAAAAGTAACAATTCCTTAATGGTTCTGCCTTCCAAATGAAGGCTTTACTTACATTTTCCTAATGAGAAAATTAACTTTTCTTCTTTAATTAGGGGCTTCCCAAGTTATTTAAAAATAATTTACCCATAGCCCAGGTTATCTTAGATATTTTCTCTGATTCTGCTACTAATCCACATTCCCTTCATGTGTAAAAACTCCAAGAGGAAAAAGTAAAAACAACAACAAAAAAATCAACAAGTGTTAAAAAATAATACATGGTAAGAAAATCCTGCTCTTATCAGAAGAACAGAAGTGAACATTTATTGTGCATATTATACGTGGGCATTTTGTTAATTGTCATATCTATGTGGTTTCATTATTTATAACAATAAGACATAATTTTTCAAAACACGAAATTTTCTCAAATGGTATAGCTGAGCTGAATTTTAAAATGATCTGTTATAAAATTTGGAACTTTACCCTACTTTGGTAATTCTAAAGCTCTAGGCCCAGGGCCTGTGATCCACATGGCAAGAATCTCTTCATCTGAGAGTGAGTACTTTTAGATTAAGCCAGTGCCACCCTTGTTCTCATAGTAGGGGAATAACCTGTACCTGGTCTGGCTTTCTCTTTTGTGTGAGCTTCCTGGTCCTTAAAGGCATCTGAGCTTATGACTTCTGAAAGAGGCACTGTTATGTTCCCACTCTAGTGGCCAGAAGTAACTAATTCAAGGCCATGATCATGCAAATTTTAGAATTGGAACCCAAAGCTGCTTACCAGTTTCTGGGACAGCAAGATTCTTCGCTGCTCTATTTTAAAAGGAATGAATGTACATTTAATCTCTCAGCTATGCCATTTAATTTGTGCTTTATAATTGTCAGCAACTGTTGAAAACATATACTTAAAAATACTTTATATAGTCAGTTAAATGTGTACTTATGTTTGTGTAACTCAATACATAATGACATGCAGTAGAACCAGGCATGGTGGTGCAAACCTGTAATCTCAGCATTATTGAGGGTGAGGGAGGTAAGTGGGAGTGGAAGACCAGCCTCAGCTACATAGGAGAATCTGTCCACAAACAAATATTCATAAAGGTGATATAATGTATATATGCATATGATATAACAGGATTTATATCATATATATGCATATATATATACACATACCATATATTCAAATTAAATTGTACATATATTACATATACATGAACTCTTTGAACTCAAGAAGGAAAAAGGAAAACATTCTTATGACTGAAAATTTTGAAATTATTCTTAGTCACAGAGCAGAAAGGAAAATGTCAAATAGCTTATTGTATTTAAAATATGGAGATTCACTAATATCATTTTTATTTTATAGTTGTGTAAAACATTACTGACTTGAGCTTAAACTTTCCTTTACACTTGTGTAATTATTTTGCTTTCATCCTACTTGGTCAGTATAAGTCGACTTCTATGAAGTCATGCAGTGACTTTTGCACCTGATGCATTATTACTTCAACAATCCTAATTTTCAAGGACAAATGTGTCTACTACAGCAATACGAGTTAAAATTTTTTTTTTGTCACAATCTGCACTCAAGACATCTGTCACATACCATATTACAAGGATACCATTTCTTTTGTCCTCCCCTAGATATCCAGCTGACTTTCTGGGGCCTGTTTTGAGCAAACCCGAGTGTTTCTCCCAGGATCATGTAACTAGAGTGTCCAGGTTGGTGCAGACTTGACAATGGGCGCCAATAGTTCAAGCAAAGCACCTGTGTTTGATGAAAATGAAGACGGTAAGAGATGTGCCACAGTGATATATAAAAATGAAATTTTGTGAAATTCGAAGATAAGCATCTGGTTTCATAAGTAAATACAAGCAAGCTTACAGGGACTCTAAGGATACAGGTAAAATGAATTGCAGGAGTAAGCTAAGGGACCTTGCTTGCTAACAGTCAGAACATACTGTTTGCTTTCAGTGGGACTTTTGCAGCTTTCTTAATAGCTACTATACTAATGTCTTTCTTGCTCCAAAGAGAGCTGTAGTTGGGCACATGGTAGATACACAGATGATTTGTGTGTTTCTGTACTGTTCCTTTGACAGCTGAAGTTATCACCACTGTTGGTTTTTAAAGAAAAATTCATATCATATACTTTAAATTGCATGTGTATGATAACTGCCATTTGAATTGTACAAGGTAGAAGCCTTCTGAATTGCCAACTGGCATGTTTCTGTGCATATTTCACAATGCTAGTTTGTTTCCTTGGGAAAAATAGAAATATTTAAGGCTAGGCTCTGTGGCAAGGAGTCTGGGCAGGAATCCTCTTGATTCCTTCTTGATTTCCCATGAGTAGCACCTTGGGATGGGACCTGGCCTTTCTGTGATACATTTCCTTACCATGCTGGAAGTTTTGAGCAGTGTAGGTGGAATATACTGGGTGGTAGCTGGCCATTGTAGTCAGGGAAAAAGAAGACCTTGGGTCCCATGTAGTAAGTTGCCCTGGTTTCCAACAGGGAAATTCCAGAATAATTCCCAGGGAGTTCTGCTAAAGTTGTACCACAAAGGGAAGGAAGGAACTGGAATTTGAGAGAGCTCTTACCGGATCTATCACCAGCTACCTATGGCCTCAAGAAATCTGTCTATTCTATCTTTGGTCTCATCATCAATAAAGCGAGGAGGTATGGTAGAAACCTGAAGATCCTTTCCAACTTAAAACATTTATCCTTTTGCTAAGTTACACATCAACCTATTAATCATCAAGGAAACTTCATCGTGTTAGAGCTTTGTGTTCTAAGTTTGAGCTTGTGTAAATTTGATCATGGAAACAGCAATAGCAACAGCTCATGCAAAATGCATGTGTTTTTCCTTCTCTGGGTGCTGTAGAGTTCCTAACCAGGAGTTAGGAACTGGCTCTCATTGCTTTTCCTGTCTCCTCCCATCTCTAGAGGGTTATGCATATCCTTATGCCTCAGGATGACTCATCTATATCCACTTTTTAGCTCTTGAGAAAGGAGAAAAATGAGGAGGTTGTGCCCATTTCATTAAGGATTGATCTAGTTTATCACTTTGATTTACTTGGGGATATTCACTTCTAAGAGAGACTGCAAAATGTATTTTGTTATTTTGGGTGACCATGAACCTTCTAATTATAAAATGGGGGATAATTAGAAGTTTGTTAAGGCTGGCGAACAACTACATTTGTTATGATTGTGGGACAAAAATTTTGTATTGAATGTTTGGATGCAAATATGTAAAACCAGAGTATGTGACTGGGCAGGGTACCTTGTTTCAAGTTCAAGCTCTTCACCATGAACATAGAAACCCATCATTACTGTATATGTAAAATATTCCACAAAAACAAAGAAATCATGTAGCTGGAAAGATCTTAAACTTTTCATTGCTATTTTTGGCACTTTACTTTGTTTTATCAAGTAGTATAAGCAAAGGCTCCAAAGATCAGCAATGTTATATGACTCCAGTCTAAAGTGGAAAGGCAGATAGTAGACTTGCTCATCATATGTTTGGTTCTCGCTGCTCTTTGGGAATTAAGAACTAATGTTTGCCTGAGGACAGTCTTCATAGAGAACAGAGTGAGAAAAGAGACCCTGACTTCATTCTTAAGTTACTATGGGAACTGTATTATTTGAAGGCAGGATGGCATTATGATGGGAAAACACAGCCAATTCTTATAGGGTGCCAAAGACACCTGGACATCCAGTGATAAGACACACTTTATTACTGACTTTAAAGGACTCTAAAAAGAAACCACAAATGGTAAATCTGGTTAGAGGAGTTTGGCTTAAGAACCAGCTAGGCCTTAGCATCCCCTAGCTTGCTTCCTTTTATTGTTCCGTCCAGGTCCCAATGGGAGAATCTACAACAGCAATTTTAAGGGGATTTTCTAATATAGACATAGCTTTAGTCTATACTTCCCAGAGGGGCTAGACGTTCAGTCCACTTATACATACCATTGCAAGTGAAAGGCAAGTTCACCTGTTGTGAGCTTGTCTCTTTGCTAGATATGGAGAATAAAGGATGAAAGGAGCATGGCTCTTGTTCTGTGCTGGTGAAGCCCATAAAGACAGAAGGCACTGTTTATCAACTACACAAGCCAGGAAGTTTCAGACTGTGTTACAGTTCTACGAAGTAAATGACTCTGAAAGGTCCTGGAGAGCGTGTGATTAGGGCTATTCTTTCTAAAGGATGTGACAGTTGAGTTGAAGCCTGGACAATGGGAAGCCAGCTATGCAATAGCATCAGAATGATAGTTCAAGCACAGAAAGAGCAAATTTCAATGAGAAAACTGAGAATTCATAGTTGCCTATATCATAACAGTCCCCGATGCATATGAGTTCATCTTTAACTTCTGTGTTGTTTTCTCTCTTTTTTGGTAAAATTTTACTGAATTTTTGTGTATTTCATATAGAATATCTTAATCAGTCTTAATTATCTTTAGACCCCCTTTCCCATTGGCACCCTCCCATAGCCCACTGGAATTCATGCATTCTGTCATTTGTGTTAAGGCCTGTCATATCATGTTAGTGTCCCTAGATGTCCCTTAGCACAAGTTCGTCCACTGGTGTCTATCAGACTATCAAGACTACCTCCAATTAAGAAGATCAGCCTTTCCTCACCCAGCAGTAATCAGCTGCCAACAATTCTTTGACTAAGATTGGGGCCTGATGCCTGTTTCCACAATTCTGTGCTGGGGTTTTGTCTGCTTGAATTTTCATAGGTCTTGTGCATGCTGACACTATTGCTGTAGTTTCATATGAACAAGATCCCAGGAGCTTGTAGGAGTCTATTTCCATATGGTCATGAATCTCCTCCCTGGCTCTTAAGTTTTTTTGCCCACTCTTCCACAATGGTCCCTGAGCCCTGGGTGGATGCAGTTTAATATAAGAGTTATGTCCAAGGACTCACACTCTGCAGACTCTTACTCTCCATGCTTTGGCTATTTGTGACCTTTTCTGTTACTGACCCTCTGCTGCATGAGGGAGCCTCATTGATGAGAATTTAGAGATGCATTAGTGTCCCTTTTACCCTTTGTTCTATGTTCTGTGAGCTTCAGGTGTAGAGGTTGCATTGTAGATATGCCACTTATTCTTGGGCAATGCACAGACAATGTGAGTGATGAGTGGTGACTGGGATACTTGTCGTAAATATAAAGGTCCAAATTTTGCAGCCATGTGTATTTGGCTATATTTACACTACCACACATGAGTGTCTAATGTCATTTGCTGTGCCAGTCATTGGTGTGGTTATTGGACTTTGAAGCTGGGGTTGGACTATCTATTAATTTTCTCCCTTAGCAGCTTGTTTAGTGCTCTCCAAATCTGTAAGAGGTAGCCCACAGGGGAAGTGACTTCCAGGTCAGTTCCAGCTCCATTATTCCAAATCCTGTGTCCAGAATATGTTTTGTCTTCAGCAATAAAGTCTTACCTTCAAGTTCTGGGAGGCAATCAAGAATTGTGGCAATAGACTGTGTAATTTTGGGACTCTCTTGGACTATCCTGCCTACTACTACTGTTTCTTATTGTGTAGCCTTCAACTATACACAGGGACTCATGTAGAGATAGTGTATGTGTAATTTTTCATCGGGTATTTGGATTAATATGATTTCCTCTGTTTTGTACATTAGCTAGGCATTATTTAGCTCTCCTCTCTATCTAACCCTCTTTCCACACCCTCCCATTTAAAGTATCCCCATTTTTCCCATTTCTCCTTTGATAATGCCAGTCTCCTATGGTTCTACCTCTCTTGAACTTCTTCCCCTTTGTCCCCATAGTTCTGTATTTAACCCTCCCTCTCCCTTCCATTTAAATGCCCCAATTTTACCCATTTTCCCCTTAATAACACCTGTCTCCTCTTATTCTCGCTCAGGTTCTTTCTTTTCCTTTACCTCCCTGGTTGAGTTTTAGGGAGGATAGGTATGCCATTCTGATGAAGTGGTTTTCTGTCTCTATGCATGTCTGTGTATGTGGTATATGTATGTGTGTAGAGGTCAGAGGTTGATATCATGTGTCTTCCTCAGTATTGTCCCCACTTTACATTTTTAAAATAGAGTCTATCACTGAACTTGAAGACTGCTTTTTCTGCTAAACTGACTGGTCAGCGAGCCCCCATGATCTGCCTGTCTCTGCCCCCAGTGCTCATATTACAGCCATGCCTGGGTTCTATGTGGGTGCTGGAGATCTGAACTGAAGTACTCAGGCTTGACACAAGCATTTTACCCACTGAGCATCTCCCCAGACTTCCTCTCACCTTTCAAATTCAATAACTCCTCTAAAGCTCTTTGTGTAGCTGAGGACGGAGCACAAGCTAAGGTGGTGTTGCTGGCAGGCTTCTGTCCAATGTGCAAAAACAACAAAAACCCACTGACTAATCAAAGAACATCAATGCCTATGTCATTTTTATATCCATATTTTCCTATAAATTATCAAGCTGGGCCAGAATCTAGGTCACTAAAATGGGCCAATTTAATTATTTTAAAAATACTGCAAAATTCTCAATGTGTAATGAATAAAGGATTTAATGTTTCCTTTAAGTGGTTTAATTTGAGAAGAATATTTAATCAGTTTTCTCAAATAATGTTTTAAGATTTGTTTCTCATAGAAAAGTGTTTTAGTTCTTTATGAAGGTAAATAAGAAATAAGAATGGTTATTGGAAGTCATTTGAAATAAGCTGTCCTTATTAGAATTCATGTGGTACCAGTATTTCATGATATTCCATCGGATGTCTGATATTAAAAGCATCATTTTCTTTGTTATTTAGATCAAACTTCAGTGAAACA